ATACAAAGACTGAAAGGTCAGACCATGAGCAGCTGATTTCTGTCAGTGATTCCATTTAAAAATAAGATAATAAAGAGTTTGTGTATTCAATTTGGAAGAGAGATTGTGGATGTCCTGACGTCAGCAAACATTAAAAGTCCCATGAGACAAATTGTGATTTGTGAATTTTGGCTGTGCAAATGAAATTTGACCAAACTCCAGCAATGTTTTTATAAAGTCTGTGATTCCACCGATAACAAAAATCACACAGTGATGATTGTCATCCTGTTTTCTTCAGGCGGAGTTTGGGTCGTCCCCCCTGCAGAGAGGACCCCTCTGAGAACAACTGTTATGCATTCTCTGAGAGGAGGAGGGGGAGGAGGAGGAGGAGGAAGGGTTTCTGCCACACTGCAGGTAGGAGGTGATCCTCAGTCTGAGGTTGAGGGCCCCCTGCAGGACCCCAGGGGGAATGGATTTAATTTCCTCTGGTATTTTCAGCTGGAGGTTCAGACAGAGACTCCGCCCACGAGGAGACGTTGCAGCCGGGCGTCTCGCTTCTGCTGCTGCGGACGAAAAATATAAATCACGTTAGAGCAGCTCAGTGGTTTCTCTCTAAATCTGCTGCACTTAAATAATGTTGAGAACAATTCTTTAACCACAGACTCAGAACAGCTCCGAGCAATAAACATGTTTCTATAGAAACTGTGGGAGTTGTTCAGATGACTCACTTTTCTCGTCTTCTTGTCTTTTTCTTGGCTGCAGACATGCGACAGAGCTTTGTGCGGTCAGCTGCTTAGGCAGACACGGCGTCTCTGACATCAGCTGGCACTGAAAGCATCAGTTACTAAGCAACCTCGCTCCTCGTTCCCCTGTTTACTCAGTAAAGTTCCCTCCCACTCTGATTGAGTTCCTAAAGTCTCTTTAAAGATCAAAATAAAATCTTCTCATGTGAGAGACAGAAAGTGAACACGCTGTCCATTTGATGAACGGACATTAGAAGTCACTCTACTAATCCCCTCACCTTTCACCCGACGCTCAGGTGGACGTCATGTTGTGTTTCTTTGCCCAGATGTTCTGTCTCCCAGGAAGACTGAGGCCACGAAGGAAGTGAAAGCTTTTCAGGGAGGATTTGAGCTTCGTACCACAACTGTATTCATTTAAATGTGACGCTACCTCAGACTGGTCATATTCAGGAACACAAACTTCAGGACAAGACGTTGGCCGGTCACTTCTGATCAATGTCATGTTTGCTAATATGGCTTCTTTCTGTTAGCTCTAAGCTAACATGAGTGGAAGCTGCAGCCAGCTGAGAAACAATGACTTCATAACGTGATCTTTGCGTTTGGAAATTTTCTCTTCAGTTAGTGTTTATTAGAGAAATATGCGTTGGTTGGTTGGTTAGTTAATTAGTCAGTTAGTTTGTTGGTTAGACAGTTAGTTGGTTGGTTGGTTGGTTGGTTGGTTGGTTGGTTGGTTAGTCAGTTAGTTTGTTGGTTAGACAGTTAGTTTGTTGGTTGGTTAGTCAGTTAGTTGGTTGGTTAGTTGGTCAGTCAGTTAGTTTGTTGGTTGGTGAGTCAGTTAGTTGGTAGGTCGGTTAGTCAGTTAGTTAGTTAGTTAGTTGGTTAGTTGGTTAGTCAGTTAGGTTGTTGGTTGGTTAGTTTGTTGGCTGGTTGGTTGGTTAGTGTGTTGGTTAGTTGGTTGGTTGGTTGGTTGGTTGGTCGGTTAGTTGGTTGGTTGGTTGGTTGGTTAGTCAGTTAGTTAGTTGATTGGTTGGTTGGTTGGTTAGTCAGTTAGTTTGTTGTTTAGTCAGTTAGTCAGTTAGTTGGTTGGTTGGTTAATCAGTTACATTACAGTTTTTTACAGTACAGTGCATCTAAAGGCAGCATTTTGTCTACTGGGGTTTCAGTATCTTGCCCAAGGACCCTTCAGCATGCAGATAGAGAAGACTGGGATTGACCCGCTGACCTTCTGGTTAGAGGAGGAGTGCCAGTAAACCTGAAGAATGTGTTTTATGGCTCAGAGATACTTGTTAAATGTCTCTCTTCTGAGATCTGAGATTTTTTGAGAATAATTCATGATGAAAACAATCATATCTAAACTGATGTTTATGAGTATGTGTGATTTTGTTCAGATCGCAGTAAACATCTGGCTCTAACACATTTAATGTGAGGAGACTGTTGAGTGTTGGCCAAGGTTTGAACTCTATGAGTCCCTGGAGGTAAATCTGAGATGAAGAGATTCATGTCATTCAGCCGTCGACAGATAAAGATCAGAAGACTCTAGATCTTTGCTTTTTGTTCGTCCTCCTGTGCGAAACCTGAGGGAAATGTGCGCTGCTTCACTCTCATTGGCTTTGTGGCTTCAGTTTGACCTGATCACTGCTGCCTCTCAGGCTGCCTGTCAGGAAATGCGGTAATCAAAGGTGTCCTTCTCCATGTGGTCGGTCCAGGTGGAGGACGACATACTCCGGTACGGGTCTAACAGGATCCGGAAACATCGGACGATCAGTAGGCCCAGGAAGATGAAGAGGATGAGGACAAAGACGAAGGCCACCCTCTGCTCGAGCGTGAGGAAGGACACAGACGATGAAGAGGATGAGGAGATGGTGCTGCTGTAGAGGCTGTCGGCCATGTTAGACTGCAGAATGATTGGTCGGTTCAAACTGTCCTCTGTATATAGCAAAAGAAAAACATTTT